TGAAAATGAAAAAAAAAATAAATAAACAGTTGGAGAGCGCGAACTGCGGTGGACGCAACGTACAAGACAAGTAATTTATTTGTGTCGTTGCATTTATTATTGCATATAGCGTAAACACGTCTTGCCGCGGGTATAATAAACAATGCACTCGCGTCCGACTATTTTTCTTTTCTCTCTTTTCTTCTATCTCTCTCTGGCTCCGTCTCACTCTTCCGTAAAAGAGACAGGACTAACATATTTAAGCACGGGTAATAAAAAGCTATAAATATAAAACAACAGTATAATATGCGTATGTGTACATTTAAGTATCGCCATTGAGAGGCTTGCAGAGATGCCGAGAACAAGGTGCCATTCAATGGTTTGTATTTATAAGTTTTTATGCTCGAGGCCACGCCGCGGATAAAAAGTAAACAATTTGCTAATGTAAACTTCGTTTTACTCCTCGAATCAATTGATTACTGGATGAGTTTTTTTTTTTTTTTTAAGCGATCACGCAAACTTTCATTTCCAGTTCTAATTCGCGTATCGCGTCGGAACGCGCCGTCGATCTTGCTACACGCGCTCATGGTAAAATAGTCAATGAGTAGCTCGGAGTAGCAGTTTTATATAAGCGGGCCTGGACCGCAACTCGATCTACTCTGTTTTTGTTTACCTAATCGAGGCTTCTATAGCGAGAAAATGTTTACTCGAGAGCTGCATCTAGCAGGATCCTTTCGACGCTGGGAATAAACAAAAACAGTGAGAAATCGCTTTACGAGATCATTAAAGCAAACCTCGAAGCCCGAACAGTGAGTCAAGTCGATTGAGAAATTTATGGCGAAGCTATAAAGCTATAAGGAAGATAAAGGATGCCGTAGCCGAAAGCAGCGCGCATAATGAGGGAAATAGGAGAGGATGAGAAAAACAATAGACATTTGTGCTGCATACTTACGCTGGAGGTTTGATCGGGGCCGAAGGTGAACTAATCACATGGGCTCACACGAGCTTGCGATGAGGCAAATTAATAATTTCACTCAATTCAATCTGGGCACTGAAAAGAAACAAGAGAGAAACGGCAGCTGCGCGCACAGTACGATCAGTAGCGCACTTTGACGGCAGGTAAATCGAATGACGAGCGACCGGCCAGCGGATAATCGAGTAAAAATTGGTCGCGCGCCGCGAACCGCAACCAAGAGGTAGGCAGACAGTTAGGTAGGTAGATACACGCGCTCGAATACGCCGTAAACATGTATACGCAGTCAGGTAAACGCGGAGTGTGGCGCGCGCGATACAACCGACGACGTCTGGTTGACCCAATGAATGCAACAGAGTAAAAGTCCTCCTCTCCCGAGGGCGCGTGCGAACGAATTCCGGTTGCAGGCCAGAGCGTCGGCGGCGGTAGCAGCATGCGCTGCTCTCTTGCGCGCGTAACTACGATGGCCCACCCGCGCGATAGTTCGGAGCTTCGCAGTCGAGGGGGCGGCAGCTCACGAGGGTGGCTCCGCCAAAGTCCCCCCAAAGAGTCTGGACTGACGACTTGGAATCTGCCGAGCTTTTCTCGCTGATTCTCGCTGATACTATTTGAATCCTCGTAGCAATTTAGTTACCGATTTGCTCCGCAGATGGAGCTAGCTACCTGCTGCGGTGCAGCCGATCGATATTTTTGCGACTCTGCAAGATGCGTTCGAGTGCATAACGTTGGTAGGTAATGTTAAAATCTGCTGGGACGATTCTAGATAACGATGAACGCGTTTACTTTGATGAAAATCTCTCGTACGCCGAGGGTAACGCGAACAAATTACTATTATTCATTAGTCAAGAACCTCATTAGTGTAGCTCGCATAATATAATCCGCTTAATCATGCTATGCAAGGCGTTGATTAATCAATGTTTCACGATCATACCATTTATTTATTTACCGATCAATGTATTTGTTGCTCTGACATTGATGTACGTAGAAATGATATCTGCTCGTTTTCTTATCTATTTTCTATGATTCTACTGCAAGTATTACGCAACAAATGACGAGTTAATATTTGATATAGATACTCAAAACAAATCTCAATTTTTTAAACATTCGTTCACGATAAAAAGTCGCTTTTTGTGTTCTTGTGTCTCGCTGGTACTTGGTAAGAAAGGAATAATCGAAAAGTGAGTTTTTAAAACGCGATTTTAGAATTTACGCGCTCTCGGGCAGAAATTACGTACAACAGTCCAGACGCGTGACCGATTAGAAATACGCGCGCGACAGCTATTAGACTCGACGTTATCGCTCCACGCGCCGAGCCTTCCGTTGCATATGTATATAAAGGCATCAAAGAGAACTTACACACACACGCGCGCGACTGCAGTTCTGCAACGAGCGACCCTATGCGCGTCTCGGCCGGCTCGCATTATATCCAGCATAGCGTATACAGGCAGCGTAACGCTGCACAAACGTCGCGTATCGCTCGTAAATAAAGCTCGAATCGGCCGAGCCAATAAATATATAGGCCTGCTCGAACAATATACCGGGCAGCGTTGCGCGAGCTGCACGATTTCTCGCTCTCGCTCCAGCCGATGTTCTCGCTTTAATTGTTTTGGATTTTCTGGTTCTTCGAGGAACAATTGAACGCGTACACTTACCTTCTGCGATATGCTCGATGCATAAAATTAATAACACATACGACGTCTTCTCTCTTTCACTCCGATGCGCTCGTAAAATTTGCCTCCTGCGATATTTCATTATTGCACGCGCTCGTGCCGGACAAAGATGGAGCATAATAAGCAGATTGACAAATGTGGAGCAAAGTGTCACCGAGAGCTCGGCTCGGGCCTCGTGTCTGCTCTCTGCACCATCGTGCACAGCTATCTGTGTGCGCGCTTGATTCTCGATCGTCGCATGACGCAAACAATCTTCAAAGAAAATACAGACATCGTTACTCCGCGCTCGCGCACACATACAACTAACTCTCGAGTACACCTATGCATATCATATTTTATTATGTGCATATCTCTCGGGCCGAGAGGGCGAGGCGGTATTATACCGCGCGCGCATTCGAACGGATAGAAAAGTCTATAGGACAAACCGAAAGTGCCGATTGTCTTTCGCGATAAAAATGTTACGCGCGACTCGCTCGTCGAGGCCTACGACAAATTCACTGACCAAAACGTCTGTGTGCTGCAATAAACGTTTGATTAAAGCCTTTTATAATCCCATTGACAATCGCTTCCGAGGCCAGATCGAGCTGCGAGCCTCGTTTTCCGGAATACGATAAAAAAAGATAAATAAATTCACTCCAAGAGCGGATTATCCAAGAGCGCGCGTGGCGTCGAATGAAATGTTTACAATACAGTTTCTCCATATGAATAAAATTAAACGACGCGCGGCGTGGCTCCGTCATCAATCATGATACATACATCGGATGAGCGTACGTACACAGGCGCACACGTACACTAGACACACCAGTTTTCATTAGCAAATCAAGGTTTTTCCGTCGGCTAACCTTCCCAGCTGGTACATACGCTCGGTTAAACTCGACCGACGGAATAGTCCTTGGCTCGAAACTAAATAGGGAGGGCGCACACGGATATATCTAACGTATAGCAATGACATAGAGAACAAAGGGAACACTAAAAAGCTAAAGGTCAGTAGGTTAGCTCTGGTGACTCGAGAGAGTGAGAGAGAGAGAAAAAAAAATGAGTAAGAAAATAAAAAAAAAAGGGTAGCGCGCGCAGAGACGGAGAAAAACGCTGACGCGTCTCGTCTTTTTTCGCGCACCACCAAGGCGAATTCGTTTTACCACGACGATTTGTCAATCCTCAAATTATACCTATGCGCGCAAACTTCTTGAATACATCTATCCGGGGGAAGACGTGCGTTATCTCGCTGCAGCGCATTAGTTTCGCGAGACCTTTTTCTTTTGGTTCTAAAGGACTTTTCTCGCGAAAAAAAAAACGTTTTCAATGCAAAGTATGAATTGGCACGAGCAAAGCCAAAGAAAATAAAATTCTCATGCTATATATTGAGTTCAAGAACAGTTGATAAATTGCTTTAATTTTGTTGTAAGATTTTCCCATTTTTTATTTTATTTTTTTTTCAGCTAAATTGCTCTTTATTGTTTTATTAGTTTTTTTTGTTTCATTTATTGTTATAACAGAAGCTTTCTTTCCAATAACACATTTTCCTTCAGTTCTCGTACATGGCAGTCGAAGCTGTTACGGTATTACGTGATCTTTTCATTCGCATTTTTTAACTCGTTCGTCAAATTTTTTTAATCATTACGTAGAATTTTCTTTTTCGATAACATCAATTATATTATAACGGCACATATATTGTAAACGAAATCATCAAATTCTTCAACAATGTTAAATAGTTATAATGTCGATGCCGAACAAAAATTCGTAAACATCATTTCAATAATTTTTCTCGTATTTTTCTTTGTGTATTGACTTTGTGTTTTTCTTTTTCTTCTTGAAATTGTAACATGAATCACTTGTGAAAAAAATTGAACACTTTTGTTCCATTGGACGCAGCGTGCACATGCGTAAATCAAAGCGCAGCATAAAATGACCCGACAAAAGGTCTTGCGTAGACAGGTTCATGAAGGCTAGCATGCATGCATAGGATACGCACGTCAACTCCTTTTCTCTCTGCTCTCTCGCTATTGACTTTCGTTTCAATTTTTTTTTCATTTTTGGCAAAGAAAAAAGTAGCTCGTTACAATGAAACCCAAACGAAATCAATGTAAATACAGCAAAAAATTAATAATGCGAAGCTCATCTCACTCTCTTTCTCTCATTCATTATAACAAGGAAATCGACTCGTTTTCCTTTTCTCACTTGCTACATTGCAGCCGGAAATTACAACTGATAGTTTTCTCTTTTTCTTATTTTCATTTTCACGATAGTTGTAGTACGATCTTGTAATAATATACATATACCTGGCTATATCGATTAATCTATCATTTATAGGATTTCGGCCACAGTGTGGTATTTAATCTATATATTTATAACGATCAAATCTTTTTGTTACATTACTGTTTTTTCTTTTTTTTCTTTTTTTTTTTTTAATTTTTTTTTTTCTTTTGTCTCACGACTTTAATTTTAGTTCATACTCTAAAGTTGATTTGCATTTTATGTAGTTTTTTCTACAGATTATTTCGAACTCTCATACGAGAAAGCTCATGTTTTGCAAAAACGAAAAAAATTTTCATCATTATTTGCTTGAAAATTTATTTGAGTGATTTTGAAAAATCTGTTTTATTTTTTTTGGCCTGCCTCGATGGCACGCGCTTACATTATATTCAAAGCAAACTATGTCAAGATGTCATCGGTAACTAAAACGTGACACGTTTTCTTATTGCATTAGAAAAGAGGCAAAGTTGAAGAGAAAAAAAATGATCGTAATGAGCTGGACGTCATGGAGAATGTTTGACTGCTTAGTACCAACCAAGTATTTAGTGGCTCAACGATAAATTCAATAATATCAGTTAGGCTTGGCCAATGCCGAGCGCCGCCGACATTGACTTCCTCGTACGCCCCTAAGCTTCTTTAACTAAGATCATTGGATTTTTTCCTGAACTTCGAAAATAATCTGTAGTTACTAAACAAGCAAGCACAAGCTCTTGAGCGTTCGACCCGGGATCGACCTTCCGACGCGACGTCTACGTAGACGCGCTAGCGAATCCGAAGGCCGACCCAAAAACAAAAAGTCGTCGGCGAAAGAAAACCGGGCAATAATAAATCATCACAGGAGTGAGAATACGATGATTCGAAGGTGGAAATCGGAGGGTTGAATGAACGTATTGGGGGAGGGGGAGGAGGAAGGTGGGTATGGCGAGGCAGCCCGCGACTAGCACACACGCGCAGAGGCCGACTAGCAGCCGACCTGGTGCAGCATGTTGGCCAGCCGAAAGACGCGCATCCAGGCGAACATGTCGGTGGAGAGTGGACGGCAGGTGAGGGCTCGTCTCGCCGCCGATGTCGATTGCGAGGCCGCCGCCGATGCCGCCGATGCGCTGCGCTGCAGGGCGTTCGCCGCCGCCCTCGCCGGTGTCGCGTTCACGCTGCTCATGTCGTTCTCGTAGTAGTACCTCTGTTGGCTGTCCTTTTGCTCAAGCTGCTGCTGCTGGGGCGAGTATTTCATCCTGCAAATGTCACAACAGAAGCGCATTGACTTAGTAATTGAGCTTTTTGTCGATGACTTGTATTATATATCTATACGGACTGATTGAATCGTGCCAGCTGATACGCGCGTGCGTTGCGTCGCGTTAACTATTTATGAAACCGAAATGATCTATCCGTCGAACGTGTTTGCTCGCGCTAATTTTATGGCAGCCGACGGGGCAGTGTTACAGCAACCACGCCTATGTGCCTCGAGTCGAACTGGTCGAGCTTGTAAACCGATCTCTTCGGTAACGAATTTTTTTGCGAGGGAAAAAAATGTTTGCAGAAAAAACACACGAGCGAAATGACGTCGCTGTTATACCTTCGTGCAGCAGCGACGATTTTCTCCTTATAGCTCCTAATGTTTTGAGCAATCCCAGCCATAATAAATACGCCTCGTAGGTAGTAGGTAGCGGTCTGCAGTGTATATATGTAAGAGCAGTGCACTCTCCCTCGAGAGAGAGAGAAAGAGTCGAGCGAGGCAGAAAACGAGACAATTAGTCACGACACGTCCGAGTCCGTGAATATATATAGGCACACGCACGCGCGAGCAATTTGACTAATTACTCTTATTTGTTTCTTGGGCCTATGCGCTGCGCACAGTCAAGAGCAAATAATAATAGCCGCGGAGCAACGGCAGCGGTGTCAGCCGCGAGCGAGCACTGCACGTGCAAACACGACGAAGCCCTCGAGTCGACTGATCGCGCCAAAGACGACTTAGGCTGCCTACACGTGAAGAGTCGGGCTTAGTCGCGACGATCGACCTGGTCACGCTCGTCTAATATCCTCTCGCGCACACGTAGGCGACTGCGAGCCGTCGTCGACTTGGAATTCTCGTGCACGATCCGGCCTGCGGGTCAAAAATCGCCTCGGCTTTCTCGTGTTCGTATGCGGCGTAGGACGTATGTAAACAAGACTCGATGCATCAACAACGGTTTAACCGCCGACGATTAAAGAGCGGCGCGTGTATTACACGAATTATAAAATTATCTATTTACGCGCGGCGGTACGCGTGCGAATCGCGTTACGCAATCGCCGGAGGAGCCGCGTGCAGTGGTGGCTTCAAGGTGTGCATACATAATTCACTTTGGCACAAAAAAAGAAAAAAGAACGAGAGGAAAAAGGAAAATCTCGCGTAAAGTATATAGTAAAGTCAGTCGCATGCGAGTGTGCGAGGCTGGTACGCACCGCACGAGAACCGCATTAATCTAGAATCACCAACTGAAGTGCTTAAATCCTTTTAGACTATTAAGGTCGCGCGCGGTGCTATATTTTGCCCGCCGTTGAGTAACAAAGTCCACACACTTTCGCTCCCGAGAACTTGGTTTGTTTTGTTTTTGCCTCTTTTTTGTTGTTGTTTTTCTTAGCGCTACGCGTACGCAAAAGTGCAGCCGGCGCAAGGAATAATGCAGGCATTTATACAGAGGTCCTTTGGCGAGCAGAGAGAGGAGCGCAGAGTTATCGCGCGTCGACGAGTGCATAATGTGTATTATTATACGGGTGCGCGCGAGGCGGCGGCACTGCAGGCAAACATCCCGTCGACACGCGCGTGTTGATATAATAACGCCGCGCGATTCGAGAGCTTGACTTTATTCTTCTTTTATTATATGTATAATACTCGAGAACGAGCGAGGGAGAGAGAGAGAGAGAAAGTTTGCTTGGAAAATCTGAATAAAGAGGCCTTGTGAATCGAGTGTTTTAATAAATACGAGCACTTGTGCGTTGAATGTCTATGAAGAATATGAAAAGGTAAAAAAAAAAGAAAAGAAAATGCCAGGCACGCGCAATGCCGATTGTTTGTTACGCTTATCAAAGCTTTAATGAGATCCAGCCGTTTTTTCGCTCGCTTCATCATAAAAAAAGCTCGTCTTCGTTCATTTTCAATTTGACTAAACGTCCAATAAAAACCCGTTGATTCGATCACGAACTAAACTTTATGCCAGATTCGTTATTTTCACCGCTGAATAAACACATTTTGACAGATATTTGACGAGCGTATTATGAAGCGTTAATTTCATCGAGTCAGCATAGTCGGACGGCGCAACTATAGCTGGCCTTGCGCAGTGCTGGTCAGACAAAAAGTTACACTATCGCACTTGCTAAAAAAAAAAGGAAAAAAATGAAAAACTATCAAACGATCCGCACTTACTTTGAAAAGCTATATGCAGAAACTTGGAACGAAGTAACGTGTACGTTTAAAAGTGACAAGTGCAGAACAAAAAGCTATTACAGTAGGTACAGCTGATGTAGTTATAAGGAGCTCGAGCGCCAATAGAGAGTGACACCGACGCGTCGCTCGCCCAACGAAAACTGAGCTCGTACAGCTTAACAACAGAATTCGCGAGTCGTATAGTCGCTCGTCGCGAGTTGTGTCGAGACGAGCATCATTGCCGCTGCCACTGCTCCACCACTCATGGAGCTGCTCCGGCTGTATAGTAGTATAGTTCGCCGAGGCAGTAAGCGCACACGTTCCTACTATACGTGTGCATGCACACTAGCGAAAATCCGGGTTACGTCTTTCGAGTGTTCGCGAGTGCACAAATACCCACACACACACGTAAGCTCGTTTGTGTATGTGTGTACGTCAGGCGTCGAGTGTATTATGTATAAACACCCACGCAAGCGAGAGAAAGAGAGAGAAAAATAGAGAGAGAGAGAGAGCATTGACATTTTTCTTCTCGCGACGATCGCGAGACACACGCGACGCACCGACTTTTCGACGAGGACGACTCGAGCGCAAAGGGACGAGTCGAAGGATCTCGCCGCAGCTTGGTTCTTTTCTATCGAGCGCTTGGAATTGAGCCGTTACCGAGAAAACGATTCTGCCACTTTGACACGGCTGCACGTGTGCTTTGTCGTGCGCCCATTGTCGCCTCTGCCGGCGAAATTACACCGAATCCACTCGCGAGCTTTTTTTCTCTGTACTACTGCACTCGGCTACGAGCACGCATGTGTTTCCGGTATTTTAAGGAAAACTATAGCGCTGGAACGACCGCAGCGAGATTTTCTCTGTATCAAAGGAAACTTCTTAGCTGCGAGAAGCTCTAACTGAAAACTTGAAATGATAAATGGCAGGTTTATTCTGAAACCGCATTTGCTGCCCTCGCACACATGCGTTTCCTCGAGATACTCCGATTCCTTGAAATAATACAATGGGCCGTGGTTTTGTGCCGAGGCTTGGCACGCCGCGCCAGCGAAATTAGTTGTCTTGAAAACTTGATTAATAAGTGCAGCATCGGCGAGTCCGGAATCTGGATTATCTCTCGATTGCTCTCGTCGGCCAGAGAGCTTAGCGCGCGATCATTTCCGTTTAAAAATTCAAGGTTGCGAGCGTCGACATGTTTATTGTCATTGGTGCGAGTATCATCGCGGCGAGCGATATGTTTCTCGGGAGCGAGGCTCAGCGATTCGTTCGACACTCGCGCCTCGAGTACGCCGAGCAGCCGGAGATTTGTTATTCCAAAAGAAGTTGCACAATGCGCACTGCTCCAAGGCAAAAAAGCACCGCGTCTGGGCACTCGCGGGCGTTTTTACGTATTGCGAAGCGTCGTCTCTGCGCTTCGAAGGAAAAAAAGTCGATCGACGATTTGGGATCGCGCGAGGCGTCCGCCTGTACGGTGCATGTACAGCGGCTGCTAAGGCGACTTTTCAGTGTTTACGCACCAGCGGAGAGGCGGGCAGAAGCAGATTAGACTCGCGTAATAAGTAACTAGGTCAGCGATACATCGGCTCGCTGTGCATCGCTTCAGGTTCTCTGCACTGTATGCGTGTGCCATATAGCCGCGAGGGAAAAAATCGCTCGACTCTATGCGATTCGTATAGGCCATCATCGGCTCAATTGGCATGGCGAGCCGCGCCGCGACAGTTTTGGAGCGCGCGATTATTAAAGTCGAAGGGTCTTGGACATGCGATTCAGCTCGATAGAGCTCGAGAGATACGGACAAGTGGGAGGAGGCGCGAAGTGCGTGTGTCACTGTTACGCTCGAAGGAAAAATCAGCGGCGCATAATACGTCGCGACACCGACTTTTATAACGATGTGCACATGCACCGCCGCTTTTTCATAAGAGAGGTGATTAAGCTCTGATTTAATGGAGTGAGATCTCACCCGTACTGGATATTATAAGATGGCTCTTCCTTCTCTCTCTCTCACTGACTTACGTCTTCGTGTGCGCTATCTCACTCGCCGACGACGACGCGCCGACCAAGCGCGAAGCCTGCGTGGGTTGATGCTCTTTACTCTCGTTGCATAATGTATATACAACGTGTCTTTTGGCCAAATTAATGTTTTCACGCTGTACTGCACTTCTCTGTAGCCGAATGATATTTTCGGTGACTATCTATTATTGGACGCCGCGAAGAAGCCTAAGCGCGAGTATAGTGTGCGCTGCACGTGTGCAAGCTCTGTGCGCACAAGATAAAATTAAATTTGGATTATCGTTTGAACTTTTCGTTATTATGTGAAAGTGGGATGGGCAGCCGATCGATGGATCGAAAATAACAGCTCGTTTTATCTCTCACTCTCCCTCTCTCGTTCGCTCGTAAAGATTATTATTTCCCGTTGCAAAAAAAAGGATATACGGCGCGCGATCTGCGCGATGCAATGAAAAAGAAAAAAAGGTGCAGAGTCGTAATTGGCATTTCCGAGAAAAAAGCTCTCGAGTGCTACTTGCACGCACGCTCGTGCGGGAGCTTTTTTCAAGATAACGACGCCGCCTATAACGAGCGAACGGCCTTCGTACGTCGATTATCGCATTTTCCATTTGCACGAATTCGAGTGCAAAATATTATTATTGGTACATGTACGCGCGTGGCTCGATTGATCGGCCCAATGACGGAATAGATAAACACGCGCTGCGAACGCGAAACTTTCGAATCTGGCTAAACTCGATATGCGTCGGCGACATTGTGTCAACAAACGCGGCCAGGGTAAATAAATTTTTCCTTTATACCGAGCGCGGCCGAGTGTGTGTATTTAAAAAGTTGACCAATATTTGCCATGACATTACGAGCTCCGTAAAACAAGTCTAGTTTAAAAAAAAGAAGCTACCGTCATCTCGTTCGAGTGCGCGCTAATTTCTTACGTTACGAGGCAGCATTATACAAGGTAATAGGTAGCAGCTATGGAATTCAAGTCAATAGCCGCGTCGAGATCCTTCAGCGTTATAAGATCATCATCGGCGCGTATAAAGAAGTCGAGCGACGAGTTGACTTTGCGCTAAATTAGCGGCCGACTCGTTAGCGCCGATGCCGTCCGTACAAAGCCAAGTTTGCTCGCTGCGAATTTTGGCAAGTCTCGGTTGTCGTTGTCGCGGACTCGAGCTTTGATCGTCGCTGCAGCAATGGCGCATGTGCGAAGGGCACGAGCTCTCGCTGCGCCTAAAGCCTCGCCCTGCACCTCGCACTCGCACTCGTGCACGTAATACGAGAGCAGCAGCTGATTCTCTAGACCTACTTTGAGATACATAATACGAGACGTCGACGCGAAGATGATCCGAGCGCGAGGCTGTGGGGCCACACAGCTGATCGATCAAGTTGACTCGAGAGCTGCACACGTGCTCGAGCCCGTGTGTCCGCCCAAGTGCATACGCTACATCAACGAGACACTCGCGTTTCGGCAGTCGTACTATATATAATACGCGTCGGTATTAGCCGCTGGCG